ATGAAATTGTTGAGTCGTAATATAAGCCAAAACAAATGTGGTGGGTATGTAATATCAGAATGATATTCTGAATAGGCTAAATCATTCATTGTGACAATGGAAAAAAAAATAACAAAGATTAAAAGTCTGAAAGTCTAATATGAAAAGTCAGTTCTCTCTGTTGATGGGTTACAAACTGCAGCTAAATCTACAAAAGGACACAGATGCATTTTGATTGTCCAAACTCAAACTGAAGATTTAAAGCCATCAGTAAGTTGCTGAATTCATCAGACTGGACCCAGAAACTATAGCTTTATAGTATGATCTGCTACTGCTTTTCAAAATGCCAGGAGACACAAGAGGCAAGACGTGTCCCCAGAGGTGTCCAACCAATGGACCATGTGTCACCTCAGCTGTCTTTCTCCAGAGCACTTCAGAAGCACGTGCTCAAAGGCCTGCCCTAGGGGAACACAGAGAAGGTGTCTCTGCATGTGTTATGTCCAGAGCAATTGAAGCTTGTGGACATTGATCTATCTGCATGTGAAAGACATTTTGTCACATGTGAGGGAAGGGGCTATGACATGCAGATCTCTCTTACTCTAAGCTGTGTGGCTGACCTGCCTAGCTGGAAATATGACAGTGCCAGGGCACACCAGCTCTCTGCTCAGTTTTCCACTTAGCAAAAACAAATATTATTTGAAGGCTGAACAATGAGACAAAACAAGATAATGACTGTATGTTGAAGTCATTGGGTCAAACTGCTAACACTGGAGTTACACTAACCATGAAGGCCAGTCCTTGCTTGCCCTAAGAGTTAGAAACTAGAAAACAGTAACATTTTCAGAAGAGTAAGGACCAGAGGCAAGTGTCTCCCACTCCCAAGCAGGCCTGCAAAGTAATTAGACTGCAGAATCATGTTCAGGTTTTGGAGCAATTACTATGTAATTCTCCATGCCAAAGAGTAACTCTTAATTCCTTTGCTGAATAGCTTCAGCAAGAGAAAATGGAAACATTTGTGCTCACATTTCCTCATCCTAGAACTTCATGGGAAAAGCAGAGGGAGGTAAATGAAGGGATTCAAATTTTCTTAGGTGGGAATTAAAGCCATGCTTCCCGGATGAAAAGGGACTGCCTCTTAAGCTTTCAAAGGAGCAAAAGCACCTCACGGCAGGGAAGAGGTCAGAATGCTGGCTTCCAAGTAAAGGGATATACTTCTGTACAACCAAATACAAGGAATCCAAGTCTCTGAGACAGGAACAAATGCTTTGTATTTCCTATTTGTGATATATTTCTGTATAGCCTGGGATTGCATCACCACTGATATAAAATCTGTGCCCTACTAGCCAGTACAGTACAGTACTGTCTGCCCTACACCAGACAGTACATGTCACATACATTTCTGCCAAGCTGACTGGGATGCACTCTACAATGTTTATTCCAGCTCCCAGAAACAGCCTTTCTGAGCTGACTCTAACAACAAAAACAACAACTCAACAACAGCAACTTGCACTGGCTTAGTCTTTTGCACCTTGTGGCTGCAGTGTATTTTTCCAGGCAGGGAGAATCATAAAACCAGCCTTAGGGTACCAGCCTCTACCTGCCAGCTGGGCAAATGATGGACTTTGACACTTGGCTTTCTCCTCACAGCCTGAGCCCTACAGAGAGCCTAGGCACTTGATGTGGAGGCTGTTAATTCCACAACCCCAAGCCTTTGTTTGATTTAACCCTAAATCAATTTCAATTCACAACAACTAAATGCCGGGAATCCAAAACCTCTGAGTCAAACTCAAATGCTTCCTATTTCCTATTTTATACAGACTTCTGTTTAGCTGGGTCCATCAGTTTAATTTTTCACTGTGACACTTTTCAGCATAAATTTACATTATTCTGTTACATAACTCCTGTCCCCTCCAAATCCAGCTGGAATTCATAAAAGCCAGGCTGGCTGTAGCCACATGACACAAAGTAGTCATCATTAAAGCACATGTGGTCTTTTAATGAAACATGATGAGACATCTCCTATCAATGGCATTCTAAAAGATACCTGCTCATCAGGCATTTTTTTGCTTAGATCACTCTTCCCAGAAAGATTGAGACAGAATCAGGAAACTGGCAGCAAACACAAGTTTCAGAGAAGGGGGATTGTGTGAGGCTGTTGAAGCAAATATCAATGGAACTGAAGCTTAACTTCATGCTCAATCAGGTTATCACCTGCTTGTCATCACTACAACATGTCTGGCCACATCAAGGGTTGCAAGAGGCTAAACCAGCAGGAAACTGCCCTTCCCTGTTCAAAAAGCTGGGGGGTGGGGAAGGGTTGTGGGGGGAGGAGAATGGAGAAGGGGTATTGGAAGAGAGAAAGAATAGTTTTCTGCTGGTTTAACTCTCCAAAATGGCTTATCGGGAGGTCAGAGGAAAGCCAGGGCACACACAGTGGAGGGAGTGGAACTGTAGGGCCAGAGCACAGGAACCAAAGGAGTAAAGGACTACTGCTGCATTGCCTTACCCTGCATAAAGCTGTGAGGGAACTACAGTGGAGCAGGATTTGTCTTTAGAACTGAAGGTTGTAGAGTGTTTACAACTCTCCACTATCTCTATTTTTTTTTTTTGTCCACACCCTGCTTAATGCAATGGAGTCCTGATGCACTTTCTTTGTTGCTGAAATGGTGTTCTTTAAAGAAGAATCAGCATATAGCATGGACCAGTCTTTTTGTGGTATTCACACACATTTCCTGTTGTTAGTTATTGTACCTTGCTGTGATTGCCCTTAAGGGAGGGGCTTTAGATTTACATAAAGCATTTTTGCTTTTGTATCATCTAAGAAATTTTTGATTGGGTTGGGCTGGGTTGGGTTTGTTGTTGGTTTTCTTATTCTCGATTTTACTTTGGGGATTTTTTTTCTTCTCAGAAGTAACCAGCCTAATTACTTGATGCCAGTTATCCAGTTGGTTGACAGATTTTTTTTTTTTATTAGCTATGATAGAGACCAGCTGTATGATACATTAAAATATATAAGCTCTGTTAAGTTTTCAATTTCCCAGCACACTGGACATTCAAACAGTCTGGATCCTATTTAACAAACATTGTTGAATGTATTCAGTTAATAAAAGCTTGGCAAAAATTAGTAAAGGACTTGTAATGGTTGTGAGTGACATATAGGTTAAAAGCTTTTTATAGCATTGCACCAAACTGGAGTAAAGCTTGAAGAAACTGAAGTGATGTGTCAGTAGGAAATCTCAGCACATCATCAAATACTAATTTTTAAGAAACTGGAAAAGATGCAACAATTCTGCAAATCTGATTTCAGTTTTGAAAATTTTAGCATTATTTACCTCATATTATCCTGTTTCCCCATTACCAGAACTGTCCCAGTTTGACAGTTTCTGTGAAAGCAAGATGTTTTCTATCCTATGCTTGTCTTACACTGTTTCTATATAAGGACCAGGACAAGAGAAGAAAGGACTTGTGGTAGATGAACATATAGGAAATATTATCTTTCAGAGTAAAATTTGATTATCATTTTTTAGTTTGCTTGCTGCTATGTCTGCACATTGGAAAAGTCTCTGTGCACCCCAGGACCCAAGGAGGTTTCCCAGCACCTCCTCAGAGCTCAGGTCACCCAGGGAAGAGTCACAATGTGAACACTAGAAAGCACACACTGTTTCAGGAATTCTGTAAACATTGGATTCTAGCTCGCAAAACCACTTGTAGATTCACTTTCTTTAAAGGCTTGTCTGGACGAGGATAAAGGTGAGTTAAAAAAAAAAAAAAAGGTGTCAGTGAAAACTTTTAATTAGCATGTTTTCAGATTCTCAGTGTTGACAGGGTGTGTTGCGTTTTAGTGCATTTGCCAGCAAACAAGTTAAAATACATTTGTGTCCCAACTAAACGTGGCAAGTTAGGGCATGTTTTGAAAAGTTTCAAATTTTAACAGAGTTAAAACATGCTCATGATTGTGCTTTTACCTTAACAGAGTGTTAGTGTCACTGATGGGTTTTTCTGGGACTCCAGTGAGAAGCTGCCATACCAGCGGGGAGCTGTTACTGAGAAGCTTTCTCCTTTTCCTGTCAACTGTCAAATGAAAATAACATTTCGTTCACCTGTATGTCAGGAATGGATAAAATTGATGTTTTAGACAATATTGGGAAAAGAAAAAAAAGCTGGGTACTAGTGTGTTGGGAGGTTTGGCAGTAGCTGCAGGAGTCAGAAGCCATGCTTTCACAGGGTGGTAAATTGCAGCTTCAGAGTACCTGGTGTAAGGTCACGATTTCCATAGCCACATAACCCAGAGTGTAGCACCACATTCAGCTGTTGTTCTAGATGTGGCCAAATACTTTTCAGGAGCAACTTTGCCTCAGTTGCTCTTGGGCCAAAACCTATCAGCTTTTTTCCTAGCCTCTCCACAGAATGTTTGTGCAAAGTTGACATAAGCACTACACACCATGCTTATACCTGGCTAGGTTGACAGGAGGGTTTGTGTTTATGCCAGAAGTTGTGTCTGCAAGGCACAGATTTATTATTAATGATCATGAAGTCAGAGCCAAGAGTCAGTAACACAGTCAGCTGCAAGGCTGATTTGCTGGGCAGCCCTGTACAAAGCATTTTATCATTCCATGCCTCAGTCTTCCACCTTCCCAAAAGTTGAGGATGAAAATACCTCAGGAAAAATGTGCTGATAGAAGTCACCTTTTGGAAGTACTGCAAAAAGACAACTTCATCCAGAGGGTGCAACTCACTATCAGGAATTACAGTGATAGAGTCCTTAAACCTTTGGAGGAGCAAGGGGTGGCAAATCCTGCTACCCCCACCTCCTCATCCCCCAAGAACAGCTCTCCAGCCTTGCCTCTTCTTCATTTTGGGGTTCCACAGAGCTGTCTTTCAGCCATGGTTGTCAAGTTCTTAGAAATATCACTACACATGATACAGGGGGGAATATTTTTGTTTGTTTGTTTGTTTGCTTTTTTGTTGGGTTTTTTTTTTTTTTTCTGACACAGCTATTGTGGTAAAAGCCTTAACACAAATTCCAACTAAGAATATTCTATTCTGTGCAAATATGCTTGACAACGATACCACTTTTTTCAGACACTAAATCTCCAACACCTTATACACAAGTAACTACACTGGTATATCCTTGCTCCTGCCACAGAAATTCTGTGACAACTTTGTATGTGGAAGGCACAGCAGAAAAGTGGTATTCTCATCTTAGTAACTGATTAGTCTTGTTACAAAACACTAATAATGTCTGTCTTTTTTTCTCTCTCTTTTCCGTCTCCCTGCCTCTTGGAAGGAGATTAAAAGACCAGGAACTTGAATAAAGTACAAGTTTAAGAAGAGGAATCTTCCCTCCAGCATATCTCTTTGCTTGGTGCATAAAGGTGTGATGCGACAAGGAGCAGCCTGGTAACTGATGGGTTCAAGAGGTCATTCGAGGGGTTAAATCTTGTATTTGCACCCTATGGTCAAGGGTTTGGGTTAGAGATAGTTGTCCGGGTTTCAATTGCACTGAGACCATACACCACACATATCCCAGATTTCCTGCTTGTCCAGAGACTCTACAGAAGAACTTGTGGAACTAAGTACCAAGAGTAAGATCAGTCAAGGCTTAGTCTTTTTTTACTTTCTCTTTTTCTTTTCAAGTGGTAAAACAATGAAACGGTTGAAAAACATAACAAAAGCATAATGAAAAGCACATCATCTAAACCTCCAAGTCACTATGTGAAATTTTCCAGTGATGCTACTCTGAAATTCAGACGGTTGAAAGTAGCAATGCATATGCCCGTGCCGGTGAAATTGCATATACCCGCTCAGGAGGGACTGGTGCCTTTTGATACTGATTGCAGAGTCCTGTCATGGTCGTCCAGCAGGTCTTCTTAGGTGATCTGTTACATAAACCAGTCTAAAAAGATAAAAACCCAAACCACCACCAACAAAATCACGATTTCCTTAGTATCCAGATTAAAAGGAGCAGACAAAACACAACGCGTGCAGTTGAGAAGCGGGGGAGGATTCCGAAGAAGGAAGCTGTCCGGCTGGCCGTGCCCCCGGTTGCGGTGCCATCACGCCATAAGGTGAGCCCTCCGCAGCTCGCTCCATCCCTTCTGCCGCCGGTGCCCGCTGCCGCACACCACTCCACCAGCACGCCCGGGAGACGCGGCAGCCGGCGGATCCCGGGAGAGCGGCTCCCGCCACCGCGGCCCCCGGAGCTGCCGCCGCGGCGCCCCTGGCCACGACCCCGGCCCCACCCGGCCCCGCCGAGCCCAGCCCGGCCCAGCCCCGCAGGAGCGGGACTGGCGGCCGCAGGTGACGCCGGGGCGGGCAGAGCCGCTCCCGCCCCGCTCCGCTCCCGATCCCACCATGGAGGCCCCGCCGCCCCCCGCCGTCGCCAGGGAAACCGCCCGGCGGCGCGGCCCCGCCGCGGGAGCCTCGGGGCGCGGCGGCGGCGGCACCGCCGGCACCCCCGCCCTGCCGTGGGCGGTCACCCCGGCAGGGCCGGCGGCCGCCCCCCGCGCCGACCCCGGGGGCTGCGGGTGTTGCCCGTGCGGGGCGCACGGGTGGGCGTGGGGGAGCTGCCCCCGGGGGAGCGGGACGCTGCTGCGCCGTGCTCGGCGGGGCGGGCGGCGGCGGCCGAGACAAAGGGAGCGGCGGCAGCGGCTGCGGAGAGGCTGTGCGTGAAATGCGGCGGGAGGGAGGGAGAGGTTCTATCCCCCCTTGTACAAAACACCAGCCAAATGCCCCTTTTTGCCCCCCCCCCCCCCCCGGAGAAACGAAGTCACCCCCTCGAGCGGCTGAAAGCCACCGGCTGCCCTCACCGGGGTTACCGAGAGGCGGCTCTCGGAGTCCGCACGAAGCCCACCGATCCCGCCAGCCCTGGCAATCCACGGGGAGAGAGAGGTGGGCGGCTGATCTGAGCCTCCCCGCTCCGCAGCCCCTCATTATCGGAATCATTTTAACATCCTTGTTTATAAACAAGAGGCGTTCGGAGGAGATTACCCGACTATGGGAAACGATCGTTCTGACGCTCGTTTCTGCTCCTTAAAAGGGGATGGGGGTGCCGGGGAGGGGGGAGGGGGTCTAGGCCGGCCTTCCCCGCATCGCAGCACGGAGGGAGGGAGCCGGCCGGCTCCCCGCATACGCCGCCCCCTCCCCCGAGAAAGGAAATCACTCGGGTCCGTGATATTTCGCCCACCCCAGCGCTGATAAGGGCTCCAGATCACCGTTGATTCGCGTGCATTAGTTTCGGGTTACATCTTATTCGAAGGTTTAAATTCAACGTAAATACACACTCGAGGCTGAGGTTTGGAAAAGCGTGAACGCTTCCCTGATAATGTCGCTTCGCCCACAACTTGAGTGCATGGAAATGCAATCGTGAAGTGGGTCACCGCCTCAGAAAATACTTTAAAATCACAAATCAGGAATAATCAGACAGCAGAATTTAATTAGAGCCGTAGGCTAATCACAAAATATTTTATTCCAAGCCAATATCGCTATGGGGGAGGGGTCCGTTTCTGCTCCGGCAGCGGCTCCTGCTGCCGCTGCTTTAGCGTTTGCAACATCTGGCCTACAGACCTACTAATTTCGACTCGTGATCTCGTTCGGCGAAACCCGATCTACGTGGTTCAAATACCTTCCAAATTGGGGGCGATTTAACAATCGCGACCAATTAAACCCAGGGAAGAAAAGAAAAGGGAAAAAAAAAAAAAAAAGCAATCAGTAAATCCCCTCCTTCCCTCTCTCTCCCCCGCCCGGGGCTCGCACACACTATCTGTTGCTCTCTCACGGCGGCAGCGGGCGGGGGCGTGCGGCGGGGCCGGGACGCTCTCACTCACACTCGCACTCGCACTCACCCGCACGCCCCTCGCACCATTGTCCCTGCCCGCCCGCCCCGCTCGCTCTCTCTCGCTCTCGCTCGCTCGCTCGCTCGGGTGTTTTGTTGGCGGCCCGGCGCGGGGCCCGGCGCGCCCGCCCGCGCCGCGGCGGAGCGGAGCGGCACATTCATTATCGGCCGGGGGCCGATTTCAAACCGCTGCCATCGCGGCTCCATTGTTCGCCGGGCGGGCGGGCCCCGCCCCCCTTTGTGCGCGGCGGCCGCGATTGGCCGGCGCCGGGCGGAGCGCTGCCGTCACCGCTCGGGAAGCCCATTCATCTGTGCACTTGGGCGTTGGACTCCGCATCTTATTAGCAACCAGGGAGATTTCTCCATTTTCTCCTTGTCTACAGTACGGCTACAAATCTGGGATTTTTTATTACTTCTTTTTTACTAAACTTGGGCTTTTTTTTTTTTTTTTTTGCTCGACTTTTTCCTCCCTTTTTTTCCCCTCCCTCCTGTGCTGCTGCATTTTGATCTCTTCAACTTTAAATTTTTTAAAAGGAGTGCATTATAATCGGTTCTGTTCTCTCTTCTCTTTTTTTCCCCCTCTGGTGTGTGTGTGTGTTGCTGCTGCTGCTGGTCGCCCAGTATTTATACCAACCCAACGCTCTTTGTTTCCCCTCCTTTTGGATCTGTTGAGTTTCTTTGTTGAATAAGACAGCATGGGTGCCCAGTTCTCCAAGACCGCTGCAAAGGGCGAAGCCTCCGCCGAGAAACCTGGGGAAGCAGTGGCTGCATCTCCATCCAAGGCGAATGGACAGGTAAAAAACGAAAAGAAATTTTTAAAAATATTAAATCTGCTCCTTTTTTTAAGCCAACTTCGACGGACTCTCTTTCGCATACTGTTTAATTCTTTTTCCTTTGATGCCCCAGTGGCACATTCAATGGAGAATACGGTCGATCCTTTTATCTTTGCAACTCGAGGCAAAGGAATAATTTCTTTATTTTGGTTAAACGGGCTCGGCTTTGAATGATTCGTTCCTTTATCTTTCCTGCGTGGGGGGCGGGGGGGAAGGGGCACGGTTCTTTCTTTCTTTCTTTTTTTTTAAATCCCTCGTATATTATGGTGGAGTGTCCCAATGGCTCGTAAACGGAAGGATCTTGCACCGTTTGGGCTTTTCTGCCCGCTTAACCTCCTCCCGAAGACACTCGGTGCTTCGCGCGGAACGTCTCCCGTGGCACAGCCGGACGGGGCCGGAGCCGCCGGGCAGGGGGCTCCGCGGGCAGAGCCCCTCGGGCGGGAGCGCGGGCCGGGGGCTGCACCGCCCGCCCCGTCCGCGGCAGCCCCGCCGGGGGCTCGGCAGCCGCGGGGCACGGCTCTGTCACCCCCCGCGCCCCCTCCCCGCGCGTGAGCCGGGCTGGCCGTGCCGCCGCTGCCCCGCGCAGCAGCGGCGGCGGCGTTGCGGGCAGCCACCCCCCGCCGCCCCCGCAGCTGCCGCCCCGGGCAGCCAGCCGCGCTCCGGGCGCCCGAAAGATGCAAATACGGCGTGAATGGGGAGGGGGGGAGGCGGGGGCGCCTCGCCGCACCGCCCGGGCGCAGAGGGGCCGCGGCGGGCGGGGGGCCGGGCCGGGCCGGGCGAGCTTTGTTCGCCTTCCCCGCCCCGCGCCGCCGCCGCGGCTTGGACGGGGCGCGCCGAGGGCGGGGGAGCGCGGCGCGGCTGCCGCTGCGTGGAGCCGCGGCGCCCTCTGGCGGCCGCGGCGCGCTCCGCCCGCCGCTGGGGGCGCCCGGCCCGGCGAGAGCGCGGGGCCTCGAACCGCGGCAAGCGGCGAGGCCAGGCCGGCGGGCGGGCAGGGCGAGGCCGGCGGCGCCCCGCAACCGCCCCGGGCGCCGCCGGTAACGCTGGTCCTTGTCTTGCAGGAGAACGGCCACTTGAAGGTGAACGGCGACGCCTCCCCCGCGGCGGCGGAGGCGGGCAAGGAGGAGGTGCAGGCGAACGGCAGCGCGCCCGCCGAGGAGACGGGCAAAGAGGAGGCGGCCTCGTCGGAGCCCGCCTCCGAGAAGGAGGCGGGAGAGGCGGAGAGCACCGAGCCGGCCTCCCCGGCGGAGGGCGAGTCCTCCCCCAAGACTGAGGAGGGCGCGACCCCCTCGTCCAGCAGCGAGACCCCGAAAAAAAAAAAGAAGCGCTTTTCCTTCAAGAAGTCCTTTAAGCTCAGCGGCTTCTCCTTCAAGAAGAACAAGAAGGAGGCCGGCGAGGGGGCCGAGGGCGAGGGCGGCGCCTCCACCGCGGCGGCGGAGGGCGGGAAGGAGGAGGCGGCGGCCCCCGAGGCGGCGGGCAGCGAGGAGGGCAAGGCGGCCGCCGAGGAGGCGAGCGCGGCCGGCAGCGCCGAGGCGGCGAAGGAGGAGGCGGGGGACTCGCAGGAGGCCAAATCGGACGAGGCCGCCCCCGAGAAGGCGGCGGGAGAAGAGGCCCCGGCATCGGCGGCGGCCGAGGAGCAGCAGCCGCCTCAGCAGGCAGCGGAGGGGAAGGCGAAGGCGGCGGAGGAGGCGGCGGGCGCCGGCGCCGCCACGAGCGAGGCGGGCAGCGGCGAGCAGGAGGCGGCCCCCGCGGAGGAGCCGGCGCGGCAGGAGCCCCCCGCCGAGAGCAGTCCGGAGGGACCCGCCGCCGACTCGGCGGAGTAGTAAGCGCCGCCGCCGCCCCTCGCCGACGGACTTTTCTTCCCCCCTGTTTGTTTTTGGAGTGGTGCCAGGTACTGGTCTCGGAGAACTTGTCTACAACCAGGGATTGATTTAAAAGATGTCTCGTTTCTTTTTTTTCTCTCCCCCCGCAGCTCCCATCTCAAATCGTTATGTGTTGCCGCCATTCCAACGGGCGGAGGGGGGCTCCCCTCCGCCTTCCTCTCCCATCCTTTATATTTTGGTTTTTTTCGGTTTTTTTTTTCATCAGTATTAATGTTTTGTTTTGGTTGGTTCGGTTTTTTTTTTTCCCGTTGGTTTTTTGCTTTTTTTTAAAAATTTTGTTAGTTTATTTTTTAATTTCATACTTTGCAACTCTCTTCATATTATAAAACTTTCGCCGATCGGTCTATGGACATGCCCATATATGAAGGAGATGGGTGGGTCAATAAGGGATATCAAATGAAGTGACAGGGGCCGCAGTGGGGAACCCGGGGCGCGCAGCCCTTGCCGGGAGCGCGCCCCGCCAGAAATGATGTAAGGGGTTAGTCTTTTTTTTAAAAGAAAGTTATTACGATGTATTTTGTGAGGCAGATGTTCTATAAGGTTTACAACACTACAAGTCTTGATTAAGAAGGAAAGGAAAAAGGAAAAAAAAAAATCAATACCCAGATAAAGAGATCATAGTCTTAGAAATTCATTTAAACCATAGGAACTTTTCACTTATCTCATGTTAGCTGTATCAGTCAGTGATTAAGTAGAAATACAAGTTGTATAGGCTTTATTGTTTATTGCTGGTTTATGACCTTAATAAAGTGTAATTATGTATTACCAGCAGGGTGTTTTTAACTGTGACTATTGTATAAAAAAAAACAAATCTTGATATCCAGAAGCACATGAAGTTTGCAACTCTTTCCACCCTGCCCATTTTTGTAAAACTGCAGTCATCTTGGACCTTTTAAACACAAATTTTAAACTCAACCAAGCTGTGATAAGTGGAATGGTTACTGTTTATACTGTGGTATGTTTTTGATTACAGCAGACAATGCTTTCTTTTCCAGTTGTCTTTGAAAATAAAGGAAAACTCTTCAGATGCAATGTTTTTTTTTTTTTTTTTTGTGTAGCATCTTGTCTATCATGTTTTTGTAAATACTGGAGAAGCTTTGACCAATTTGACTTAGAGATGGAATGTAACTTTGCTTACAAAAATTGCTATTAAACTCCTGCTTAAGGTGTTCTAATTTTCTGTGAGCACACTAAAAGCGAAAAATAAATGTGAATAAAATGTATAATTTGGTTGTCTTTCTTTTATGGATACTCTGGTAGCTTAAAGGGACTAGCTAGTATTGCCTAGATTGTACAGAGACAGTCATGTGTGCTGTTAGC